AATATGATACAATATCTGAATTTGTTAATGAACTTTCAGAATAAATTAACAAACCTCTAAGTAAGAACGCAAAATTATTTAGGTCAGTTGGATAATTAACACTGACTCTGACTTCAAATTTGGCAGGGCACAAGTTCAACTCTTGGTACTTGCAGTCTCAAAAAATTATTTACAAATAATCAGATACAAAGAACTATTTTCAAAAGGCAAATACTTCAAACACCTAATTGAACATATAGAACGTCTATCTTCGTGATCGGTTCAAAGCGTAAATTAAACACCTGAACAAGGAAGAGCACATGTACAAAAAATTCAGTTACGATGAATTATGTAAATTAAAATGACAAAGCAATTTTGTTATATTTTGTGCTAAAAATAAATAATGTTGATTTTGTTCCAACTTTCATAGCTTAAGAACGAAACTTGTTAACATTTTTATTATGTTACGTTTAAACATAATATGATGTTACTTTACCAATAAAGCTAACCACAAGTGGTCTGACAGCAATTAAAGATTTCAGACTATGTATGCAAGACAGAAATATCTTTAAATATCCTAGGAGAGTGTGCTGCTTCTATACAATGTAGGAGAAAAATTTTCCACAAAGAATTGATCAACGAATTTGATTGGTCAAATATCCATCTGGGAAAGATTAAAGCTTTTCTGGGTACAGCTGAAGTGAAATTTTCAAACTCGCCAAATACTAATACTAATAGGTCTAAGTTAATTAACTTGTGGACATGCATTGTCCAACTAAATTGGACAACTTCAACCCTTCCAAGCATTTTGTGCTTAAGTTAACTAATATATGCACAGATATGCTAGAATAAACATATATCAATGTGCTAACAGAACCAAAAAAAGTAGTGAAATCTAATACAAAAGTAATTTCACAAATACCACACCAAAAAAGTGTAAAAGCGCTATTCAACAGCTATAAAAATTAATTATTTTTTAAAAAATTAGTAATGGTACTTAACAGAAATGTTAATGGTTGAGTACTTCGACGGTAACGCTAGTTTGCAAAATAAACTAGCAATTCTTTGTTGCAGGATAAGAAGCAGAACTTCCATAGATCAGCAAAATTGTCAATAAGTTAAAAGTAACTCTTCGATTGAGCAGTAGAACACGGTTCTATAACCGTACGGTCGATCCATTGATTAAGCGCGAGAGAAAGGGATGGATACCTGTGATGGAGTCAAAACACTCAGAAGAAGGATGTGAGAGTTTGTTGTGCTTAAGTTGTTAAATTTGAGTTTCAACATTAAATGATATGCCGGCAATATACTGAAGGCATGGGTTAGCAGCCACGGAATTGGTTATAGGCTCTTGATGGTGACAGAGCTCCAATCTTGCACTAATTTTTATTTATATTTTTGTTCTAAACGACACATATCTTTGTGTCTTCTTATGACACGTAGCTTTATGAATTTTTTTTTTATTTATTAAAGCTTTGACGTGAAATCGCACAACAGCCGGTACTACGGCCAGAAGAGTCCTATTGTACCAATTTCACAATTGATTACACAAAGCCTTTTAAAGTTTTGTGAACGAAGTCTAGAACTAAATCTAGAGAAGAGCTCTTAATCTGTTCTGGTGACAGAAATTCCACACGAAACCAGTTTCTTCTCTGGGTTATTAAAGTTGGACAAAGAATATGCATAGTAGTTTCATCATCTTCGAGGCATAATCTGCTCCGAATTAGCATATAATTTTAATTTATGACGGTGATATTTCAGGCCATAATGACCTGTAATGAAATCCGTTATCAACGTTAAATTACATTTTGAGAATTTAAGGACGTTTTTGTAGGAGTACGGTTTTATCAGTGCTTTGTCTAAGTCCTGAGAATTCTTCTGTCAGTACTCCAGCAACATATGATTTTCCTTCTTCTTAATAATTTGTTTTGTAGTGGCCCAATTTAACTCACAAAACGGTTGAGGGCCTGTGAAAGCAGTTTTTGATTCAGTTCTGGCTAACTTATCAGCTTGTTCATTTCCCAAAACTCCCCTGTGACCCGGAACCCAGTAAAGGCTTAATTTATTCCGAGTCTCTAGTAATTGTAGATCATAACACTCAAGGACCTGTTACCTTTATGATACCTATACATGTCTTCTGTTCTAATTAAGAACCCGTTTCAGTAACTGGTAAAAATATTTATGCAATAACTACTTTTGTTGGTCGTTAGAATTATCAATGCACATACTCATTTACCGTACTTATCCACTTCTTAAGTGATTTTAATCGTCCGTGGAGTGTGGTACAAGAAATTTGAATGCCTAGTGTGTGTGATTGGAAAATGGAAAGGAAATATAAATCCACAAATCTTCATATATGGGGAAACATAAAACAATTGCAATAGTAAACAAATAAACTCATTTTATATATATATTTAAAATATATGAAGGTTGAATTATTTTAAACGAACATAATTCTAAACAATGCTTTTGACTAGCTTAAAGGAAAATGTTAATTCCAAATAAATATATTTATTTATATTCATCCAAAAAAAAACCATATCAAAACAAAACATGTAATTAGGAGAATCGTCAATTGCTTCTTTAATATTACCAGTTAATATACCAGATTATTAAAATGTTAAAACACGCAAACTAAACGATTCTTAATTTAAAAATGTAAGAAATTAAACAATTAACATTTGTAATCGCAGATCAAACAACGCAAAAAAATGTCACGGTGTTTAAGAAATAAATACAAACTATCACAAACAAAACAAAAACTGATAAGCTACAAAAAAAGAATGTGTGGTGTAGACTATTCAGTGAGTAGTAAAAATGCGTTAGTTAAAAGAGGACAAATAGCGAAACAAAATTTAAAGTGTGTCCTGCTTGGCTATTTCTTTTGTAGAGAATTTCGAATCATTCACAATAACTGCCGCACAAATTCAAAATTTATTTGATAACGAATATTTATTAAAAAAGTCAATAAATTGCAGACACCATGTTTACCCATTCCGAGTACCTGTTCAGAATTCTTGATTTTTTTAACAGAGGCAAATTACATGTCTTATTTCTGTTTTTGGTTGCGTCGTTACTGAATTAAAGGCTCAGTTAGACGGTAGGTAACGTAAGAAATTAATTCTAGGCGAAATACACAACCAACCAAACTTGTGTGTTTGATATAAACGAAATAAACAAAGTACACAGTTTTAATTTATTTCGTTCCTATCAAGTACGCAGGTTTGGTTAGTTGTGCATTTCGCTTCGAATTAATTTCTTACGTTACCTACCGTCTAATTGAGCCTTAAGACTTATTTTCGCTGTGAGTCGTTGTTTTCTCGAATTGCGTTGTTTTGCGATTGCGAAATGAGATGTTTTTTTATTATTATTCAGAAAATTCTTGCTAACTTAGCAAGAGAGTCCAATTTTGAAGGGATGGATGAAGTGGACATAAATGAATTGCTAGCTCATAACCAAGAAATGTCTAATGAGGAATTGATGCAACTGGATTTGAAAATCGCTAACGAAGAAGACAGCTCGCTAGATATAAGTAAGAGTCAAAATTTAACTTCACAGCAAATTTCTAAAGCAATGAATCTAATTGACGAAGCAATGGAAATTTTTTCAAAAAACGGTCCTGATAGCGAAAGAAGTGCAAGTAATTTTATAATTTATTTATTTTTTATATCTATTTTTAATTTTTGGTTGAATTTCTAGTCTTTTTTATGTTTTTAAACGAATTAATAAAGTTTTATTTTTGCTTTATTATTTAAATATTCTTCTTTTTTTAACATTTAAGGACTGAATGAAAAATACGGTAACGTATCTTCGTTGTTTTTATGATTTCCAATAGAAAACAGCAATCCACTTTGCGTTGTTTCAATTTGAGTCGCGATATTTTGGAACGTATCTACGACGCAAAGCGAGGTCGTACTGTATCTAGATATGGACCTCGTCGGTTATTCAATTAAACGTGATGGGTTACAGTAACTGTAATTTAAGCTATATCAACTTGTCTATCCTATAGATAGGTCTACAAATAGTTTATCATTAACCAAACATTGTAAACATCACTCTATTGTTTGTGCTTCATTTGGAACTTACTCAGGAGTTATTCACCTGAATGTTTTAAAGAGAAAATGTCTTCTATTTGGAACAAGAAATAATTACATATATTATGGATCAGTTATTCTACTTCTATAACTATACAGATAGTCTTCTAATCTAATAGTTGTTGAACTATAACATCACATAACCTGTTTTGCTTTGATTTAATGTCCATTTTGGCACGTTTGCTCTTATTGCACTACTTAAGTTGCGCTCATTCAAAGGCAAAATTCTTAATTATTATAAGGCAACTCTCTTTCTCTCATTTTCAGGAGAGAAATAGTAAAATGCTTGGCATTATAAGCTTCTAAAAATGCTACCCATCTTAGAAAGTCTATGTGGAACTTTTACCATTATAACCTGATCGCAAAAGATATGATTATACTAAATCATTTATAATTATTATTAATATAAAAAACAGCTTTTCTATTTCTATTAGCTTATATATAAAATAAAACCAATCATTTATGATTCATATGTATGTTGTAATTGTTAATTTTATTTTTATTTTGTTTCTTTTAGAATACGATATATATATGTTATGCTTGTTCTGCATATAATTTTATTTTTAAAATCTTTTTCCGCTACATATAATAATTTAGTCAATATTTTTACATATATATTTTAACTTCATATTTTAATTTTTGTTTGTTTTTTATTTCTTATATATAAATTACATATTTATGATGGATGAACTTACGGTGTTTTAGCATTTGTTCAGTTAAAATTCTCATAAAATCTCATTTAATTAAAATTATATATCAGTAGAAAACATAATATGTAAAAGTTCTTTAACCTTTTCTAAACTCTGTTGGTTAATATTGATTACGGATTTTGGTTGGTTTTTGTTAATTTGGCAATTTATATAATTAAAAATTAATGTATTTTTTTTCTTTCTTTTATATAACATCCAAAAGGAATTTTATTTTTATTTTTTGTTTTTGTTTTTAAATATAATTATTGAACAATACCCAAATACAATTCAAATTAACTTTTAGAATAGCTTTTGTTTGAAACATTTATATAAATATACTATTATATAATATATATATATACATATAGATATATTATATAAATACGGTGTTGTATATATTAGTGTATATTATAAATAATTGCATTTAAATTCATGCATTGTTAAAGATATACTTACACAACTTATATATAAATGATATAACTATATAGCGAGTCGATTTTTTTTTTAACGGTTTGGTTTATTACATGAGAATTAATTATATAAATCTATTTTTCGTCAAATCAGGAGGTTGAGTGTTATTATAGAGAACTGTTACTTAAATTTATGTTTCGCCGAAAAAAACTCTTTTACATATTTAAGATATTTGCCAAAATTGTTCCTTTTCTTTTTGCTCATCTTCGGATTCACTTTCTGTAAAATAAAAATAATGAATCATTAATTATTTGAATCGACTTTTTTATGTATATATATATATATATATATTATATAATTATAATTAAATTAAATCTAATAGTAATTGTTCAAATCTATTTTATTCCTTTTTTTAGATATTCTATTTGTGATATGTAGCACTAATATTTGTCTAATCGAATCCATGAAATTTTAGGAAGTTAGACACCCAAAATTAATGCACATTTTTCTAGCATTTAGTTACTTCAAAATAATTATGAGAACAATTAATTTTAAATTTTAAAATTTAGAAATGCATATCAATAGTTTTAATATTATTTTGTCATAATTTTCATTGGCCTAATGTATCTATAGTAAAAAAATAATTAGGCAAGCAAAACAAATTATATTAGTCTGGCAATATGGTACAACAAAATTGATAAGTATGTATTTATTAATCAAAATTATTCTCAAAATATTGCCTTCTGCTTAACACTTTAATTTTAATTCTAAAATTAATTAGTTCACACTCACCTTCTTCAGCGAGCTGTAGCCATTCAACAAATTTTTTCATTTGTTCCAAGAAATGCATCTTGCCCTTGCTCGAATGCGCTTCTTTGAACCATTTGAGTATAATTTCTTCAGAAAGTACGTCAGCTAAAATATAAAATACAGTATTAATTACAAATAAAATTTAATATTGTCAATTTGTTTATAACTTACTTTTATAAAACAACAAAACTATTTTATGGAAAGCCTTCATAAAATTCATGTTTTCGTAACAGAATTCTTGCACCTTCAATATAAGTGCCAATTCGGATCGATCAGTTGAAGCAAAAGCTTGTAAAAGTGGGCAGTAGCCCCTTAGATGCCTTACTGCTTGATCAGTTACAAGTTCTTCTTTTTTATTCCATTCGCCGAGTGACATTATAGTAGACCAAATCTGAAAAATGCAGAAATTATTATAAATGAGTTATCATGGAAGATTTCTACATTAAGCTATTTACATTGAAAAGTTATAAAAAGATTACTGAGGATTAATTACTCCAGGATTAAAACAATTTAAATCACTTATTGATACCTATAACAATCAGAGATACCAGGAGTGTGCGGATTTGTCAAAGGAAAAACATAGAATCATCACAGAAATCCTAACAGGGCACTGTAAATTAAAATATCACCTTATCAAAACTGGGGATATATACGGATGCAAACTGTAGATTCTGCAAAGAGAATGAAGAATCAGTCACACATGTGCTGTTAGAATGCCCTGCGCTAATGCACAAACGGAATAGATTCCTGTGAATATATACCCTCACGGAAGAGCTTGAGAGACCTACACTAAACCCAGAAGACCACACAATATAGATCTGACAGTTGCAGTCCACATCTCTTAACAAAAATAATAATTGAAAATGTTTATACAGAAATTTTTCTTTAAATGATTTGCTTATTTTTTGACTACTGTATTCTACGCCATAAGTGAACTACATTGAGAGTTGTCCACTACTGTAGCGAAAGAGTGTAGTTTATTTGAACTGTGGGCATACCTTTTATTTATTCTGATGTTAAGCACTGGTTGTATACGCGAATCAACGAGCGAAAGAGTTGTCTTCATGATTTATATTTAATAGTACTATTCATATATAGCATCGGTTTTTTCACCTTTTTTCCGCTTAATTTCAAGTACTGGTTAACCGATGAATTGATGTATTTTCTAATCAATATAATTTAAAATTTAAGACTAGTTAAAAAGCAAAACAATAACTGCTATAATTTTTAATAACCATGGTTAACTATCCATAGTGAATAAATAGTTGTTAATGGACGCATCCACAGGTTAAGAAAATACGTAAGTTAACTAAAGAATGATTTAACCGGGTTTATCGTACCCGCCCTTAGTTTTTAGATATATTCAATGTATAGTTTAGTTAATTTAAAACAAATGAAGAATGAACACTTACAATTATAATAACTTCATGATCGGGAATGTTAGATTTCAGTGCAAAATCTTTGATATTTGCTGTTATTTCTGAGTGTGCTTTTTCATCATTAATGTCGTCAATTAAAGTTTGTTGCAATTCACGTTTTGCTTCTTGGCTTGCCTGAGCCTTGTGTAGTTTTATTATTTCAGTTAGATCCTTTTCAAGGAAAACTTGTTTTAAATAATCTTCAGTGCGTTTATTTGGTGGGAAAAAGTCCATGAGTCTACAAGTAAATTAATATATATTTTATTAGTGTTTTAATAGTATTAGTATTTTAAATGATAAGGATTTAGTAAGGGAGAAAGTGTTAATAAATATTTGAATAGTTTAGTGATTTTTTTTTCTGTATAATTTGTAGAAAATTTAAAACTTGTTTGGAATTAAATCGACACCCAAATAAAGCACGTTTATTTGCGAATTAAATATAAGACCAATTTTTCTTGGAAAGTTAATTAAAGAAATTAATTCATGTACATAAGTTTCTTCCTGAAACTTTCCGTGCTTCCAATATGCAAATGTTTGTAAAAGATTTAATGTTTATTTATCTAAAATATTGAAAAATCTTATTTTATTTTATAGATGGTTTAATTTGTTTTTTTATTGTTTATTATTGTTTTAACACAAACTTTCAGAAATAAATTAGAAAAGCTGATTTTCTAACAGACCTAAACAACACTTTATTCTTACAATGGATCCCTCTACTGATCCGTTTTTTTTAAATGTTACTATTTTTTTTTGTTTTGTCCAAAATGGATTTGAATGTAACTTAATCATCGGTGATATCGGTAATCGGTGATAGAGCTAAAATTATTAACACAATATATGTATGAACTATCTTCTTAGAATATAAACTTTTCAGAAAAGTTATT